CAGCCATTCACTAGCTGTGTGATTTGGGTGAGTCACTCAGCCTCTCTGAACTTTTCCCCATCTCTAACGTGAGAATGCTAACACCCACCCCACAGGGTGCTGGGAAGGGGAAGCCAGATGATGAATGAGAGGCGCACGGCCAGGCACACAGCTGTTTTGTGGTTCTTGTCTGTCTGTCACCAGCTGAAGCAAACCCGCTTATGACATCTTCAGTTCCTCCTCTCACGGGAAGGGCCAGCGAGTGGTGACATCAGACCCGACAGCTTCTAGCCCAAAATAGCCTTCTCTTTAGACTGACCCTATCCCATCACAGCCGCTTCTGCTCGCCGTTCCCAGCTGAGCTGGTACTGCCTTCGGTTCCCGTTCCTGCCGTATCAGCCTCGTCCCCAGCGCCGCGCCAACAAAGCCTCCCAGGAGGCAGGATTCTCCCCGGGGCAAATGAAGGGGAGCTCTCAGACAGTGCCCCCAAATCAAGGTCCTGGGCTCTGGAGCAACCTGGGTTCAAATCACCTTCCTCCCTGTATGATCTTGGCCATCACTTAACTTCCCAGAGGCTCAGTTGCCTCATCTGGAAAATGGAACTAATGGCAACCTACCGGGTGTGTGGTGGTGAGGAGTCGAGCAGACGACGTCCATGAAGGACCTTGCATGGAGTCTCACCCGGAAAACGTACTCAATAAATAAGACTGGTTGTTGTACCTGCAGCACTGGGAAGTTTATAAAATCACTCCCACCTGCCCACCTACTGGGGTCCCCCAGCGGGGGCAGATGTCCTCATCACCAGGAAGAAACTGAAGTTTCTGAGCTGCTTGTTCTGCCCCCCAGATTTCCAAAGCAACCAGCCCCTTCCAGAGCACTGATCCCCGCTGTCTGTCTGAGCCCAACTCCCTCTGGGAATCACAGGCCCCCCCGCCGCCCCCGACGTGTCCGGTCTCATGAGATTTTACCTTGTCACTCCTCTGGAGCCTCAAGACAGCCAGGGAGGTGGGCAGGGCACAGCTGAGTCTGCCCATTTGTCAGACAAAGAAGCCAAGGCTGAGTGAGGAGCAGGGACTCGGTCCAGGCCACCGATGGCAAAGGGAACCAGGATGAGGCTCAGGCCGCAGGGAGGGAAGTGGGTGCCAAGTGCTGAGTCGGATTTAGAATCTTAGATGGTCAGAGCTGGAACATTCAGGGGTGTGGGGCGTAAATGGCCGCGAAAGAAACAAACCCAGAGAGGGGGAGGATGCCTGAGGGCACAGAGCAAGTCCAGGGCAGGATCCAGCTGGTGCCATTCACTCATTCACTTTTTCATTCGTTCATTCATTCATTCATACAGCAAATACAGTAGCAACCAAGACACAGCCCTTGCCCTCAAGGATCTCAAGGTCTTAAGTGGGAGTCAGATTAACGACCAGGCAATCCAAACCTGTCCTCTTCGGGGAAGCACCAAGGTGTGCCGCAGGGCAGGGGTGGGAGGCCACATCTCAAAGTGGAGGAGGGGCAGGACTGGGTGAGAACCCGAAGAGACAGTGTTCTATGGGGTGAGGTCTGCTTCCTGGTCGGCCCACGGTCAGGTCTCCCTCCTGTTTTCTTCCTCAGCGATTGGAAAGATGGGAAGGCAGTGCTTCTCTGAGCTGGACTTTCCATGCAGCTGAGGGGCCCACGCCAGAGAGGGTCAGTCAGATCTTGGCTGACCCTTGCCCCGATTTACACACGGGGAAACTGAGGCCCACCCACGAAGGGCTTCTGCTCCCCGCCTTCCTGCTTCTGCTTGTTGTGTGAAGAAACGCCTGCAGCTGTGTTTGCCACTCCCCCAGCCGCGTCAGCCCTCACTGGCCTTGCTCAAAGGGTCTCTCACCTCAGGACGACCGGATAGGGCACCGCTCAGCCCTGTCTGCTGAGACACCCTCAGTATGGCTCGGGCCTCCAGAGCATTTGTGTCAGTGGTTGGGATGTGGCCAAACTCCTTTCAGCCCTTGAGCACCAGGTGAATGGAATCAAAGCTCAAGCTATCCACCAGACAGAAGAGTCTGACTTGGCTTGAAGCATGGAGGGGGTGCCCAGAACCCCACTCCCAGCTGTGCCTCTCCCAACCCTGTATCCCCTGAAGTTCCCAAGTTCCCCAAAGAGCTCAGCTTGTCAACCCTGACCCAAAGCACTACCCTCCTTAGAAGTGTTGGAGAACCCTCAGAAGTTTCTCCAGCCTTTGCACCTGCTGTCCTATCTGCCTGGAATGTCTTTCCTCACCTCTTTGCCTGGGCCGACGGAATTCGTTCACTCACTCATTCAACAAATATGTGCTGGATGCTTATTCTGTGCCAGACAGAGAGCTATACTCTGGGGATAACAGCTGTCTGAGAGCTTAGAGACTTGGGGACATATAGAGTTTAAGCACAGGCGCAGGCACACACAATAATGTCCAGTACAAATAGGAGCAGACCCTATAAAGGAAAGGAGAAACTAAGAGTGAGATCTCATTTGATGGACTGAGGGAACATGGTCTCGGGAAGGCTTCCCTGAGGAGCTGACTTTTTACTTGAGTTTGGGAACAGGAGGAGGACGAGGAGTTAGTTTACTGAAGAATGAGAGAAAGAGTGCCCCGCAAAGGAAACAGCATGTGCAAAGGCCCTGGGCTGATAACTGGTTTGGTGAGTGTGAGCAAGTTCAGATCAGTAGGACTGGAGCCTATGGAGTGGGCGGGTGAGGGAGAAAGAGTCAGATCATGCAGGGAGGCAGAAGCAGCAGACTTTGGTCAAGGGACCATGTGGGTAGCAGGAAAACGGAAGGATCCAAGAGAAGGAGCCAGAAGAAGAGACTGAGAAATAGGTGGGAGAAAATCGGGAGAGTGGCCTATCCCAGCCGCCAGGTGAAGAAAGGCTTTTGTGAAGGAGAGAGTCATCAACTTCTTCAGTGGAGGAGTCATCTCCTCTAGGAAGGCTTCCTGGACTCCACGTGTAGGGTTAGGGGTTCCACAGTGCCTTGGCCTCCCCCATCAGAGCGCTTTCCTCTCCCCCAGGTTAGCCTGGAAATGTCATGAAGGCAGAGACAAGGTCTGACTTGCCTTTCCAACCCCAAAACTTAGCACAGGACCTGAAAGTAGCTTTTGTTAAATGAATGAACATAGAGAGGATGTGCCTCTGAGCCCACGGTTTTCCTTCACTGGCGTGGTCCAGGAGGCTCCTTCTGCTCTGGACCTCCCAGGCATGCTGGAGCCAGACCCCTCTCGGCTGGACCTGGGACCACTCGCAAGGAGAGCCTGGGCTCTCCTCCATTCCTGCCTGACCCCTTCCTGAGGCTCCCTCTGTCCCTTCGCCTCTTCCTATTGGCTCCTAGGCACCGAGCCGCCTGACCAGCTTCCAGAAGACCAACAACAGGCTCCCATAACAGGTGAAGAAAAGGTGCTTCCTGTGCATGGGACCCTTCAGTTAGGGTGCATACCATTCCTGGGGTACCAGCCTCGCCCTGCCCTGAGGCTGCTGTTAGCCAACCAGGAAACAGCAGGTCAGGGCTCTGGGGTCCAGGTGGGGAGATGGAGCCCTGGGAGATTTAGAGCCTCGCTTGGCCATGGGTTGGTCCCCCAGAGAAGGGTCCGTGCCCTCTCTGGAGTCGCATTCAGGCATGGCTATACCAAGTTTCAGGTGAGCACTTCCGGGGACATGTCTCAGATTGTCTGTCTGCCCCCCCGCCTCCCTGGGGAACTCATCACTCAATCCAGCCTCATATCACTCGTCTGTCTCCCATTTGAGGCTGGGAGCTCTTCCAGGTCAGGGGCCTCTCTTTGTCTCTCCCTCCTTCCCCCCTCCCTCCCTCTTTCTCTCTTTTCTCCTTCCATTCACTAAGCACAACCATTTCTCCAGCTTGAGCTGTTCATTTCTGAACCCGTGCCCCTGACACACAGCTTGGCACTTGGGGGTCACTCAGCATGCATCCACTGGCCACCTGGCTGCCCAACGGTGCCAGGTCCATGGGTTGGGCCTTGCCAAGCTCCCTGGAGGATTGCAGCTCCGAACATGGCAAAGGGACCCTCTCCCTGGAAAAAGCTGAGCTCCTGCAGGAGGAAGGAAATTTGGCCTTGAATCTGTATGGAGGCCAGGTCTGGCTGGGGTGGGGGGAAGGTGGGAGTGGGGTCCAGAGGGAGAAGTCAGTTTTCTTCGCAGGAACTGTGGTCCCAGGAGGACCTGAGCCCCCAAAAGGTGGCTCCAAGCTGGAGTGAGGCCGCCTCTCAACTGCCCCCTTTTTGGCCAACAGGGCCTTCTCCCTGCTGAACCCTAAAATCTGCTGCCCCCCCCACCCCGCCTCAGCCCCTCAGGCACCCTGGCCCTCCTGCTTTTCTCACGTGCATGTTGCCCAGAGACAGCCAGGGTGCCCTGGTGTGCCAGCCAATGGGCAGCTCCCTGGCCAGGCTGAGCAGTGGGGGTTTCGGTTACCTGCACCCCTGAAGCTCCAAGCCTGCAGAACCTGCCCCAGCCAAGCCATTCCGAGTCCTACAAGTCCCGTCCCAGGCTCTCAGCAAGAGCTCCGTCCTGGCAACTGTCCCCCAACAATCTTCCCCGGGGTTTCCAGCCAGCCCGGAGGCTGCAGCAGGGGCAGCGGGGGCAGCTCCCGGTGGTCGCCCCCGGGGCCCTGCAAAGTGGGCCGTGCTTGCAGCCAGGTGTTAATTACAGGGTGGTTCCTGATGCCTGGTCCACCTATATTTATCTGCAGGATCTCACTAATTAAATTCCCCACAGCACCCGGCGGGCTTGGGGACCGGAGCGAGGCAGACAGGCAAGGGGGCTGCAAACTTCCTTCCTTTCCTTCTTGGCCAACAGCAAAACAGAAGCAGCCCAAACTCCTTCTCCCTCCCCTGACGCTACTCATGTCCAGAGTCCGAGGGGCTGCCCCCAGCTCTGCCCAGGGGGTGGGGGGACCCTTCGGCCTTGTATCCCCTCTCCCCGGGCCCCCCGCCCTTGCCCACCCACAGGCCCCAGGATCAGACAGTGCCCAGCCTCCTGACGGCCTCCCCCCATCAACTCAGATTCCTGCAGCAAGCAGAGAAAAGTCTGCCGAGCAGCGAGGCCGGATCCCCAACTCTGCCACTTTGCAGGGGCCGGGGCCCTCTTACCGTACGAGTCGTCTTGGTCCAGGAGGGAATCGGGCTCCATGGCGAATGGGCCCCCAGCCCCTGGCCCCACCTGATTTATGAACCAAGGCTGTCTCCATGAGCGTCTGGGTTTCTCCTTTTGTATTCCATCTGGCGGCTTTTCCAACTAGATGACTGGGTATTCCTGCAAGCAGGCCCCTCTCCAGCCCTCGCCTTCATACAGTACATTTAAAGTAGCAGTAACCTCTTTTTCCTCCCCCCGCAGCCGGGCTGGAAACATTAGAAGGGACCGAGGCAGCGAGATGTCTAAAATAGGAAGACGCCGGGACGCTTGGCCTGGCTGCCTGCAACGCTGGCTTTGGGGTCTGGCCGGGGCTGTGAAAGTGGAAAAGCTAAGAGGTAAGGCTGCGCTGGGGCTTAGCATCTGGAAGCTGGCTCTGGGGACCCAGGGTCTGTTGGGGGAGGGGAGCAGGCTGACCCACCCGTGGGAGGGGTTGGGGGAGGGGGGGCTCGGCTCTGTTCACCACCCAGCGCCCAAACCCCAGGGGCTTCTCCCGGGCCCTGCTGGAACCTCCCACGCAAATCTGTTCTACAGACATTTCCTGCAGTGTGGGGGATGCAGAACTGACTCATCCCTCCATTCAGTTAGTCATTAACTTTTTTCTGAGCATCTACTCCACGCCAGACACTGCCAGGTGCTGGGGTAACAGCGGGGAGCAAGGCCCGGCGTCTGGGCTCATGGAGCTCACAGGTAAGCAGGTCATGGCCAGGCGGTGGGGGGGGTGGGGGAGAAGTGCTGCAGAAACAGAGAGCAGGGATGTCTCCCCCGGTCCGGGAAGGCTTCCTGGAGACACGGGCCCCTAAGGATGAGTAGGAATCAGTCAGGGAAGGAGCGAGTGAGGGGGAAAGGCGTGCCAAGTAAACGGAGTGACCTGTGCCAGAGCCTGGAGCTGACGGGATACCTGGGGCATTCGGCGCCCCCAAATGAGTTCCCGGTGGTGGGAACAGTGGCTGAAGGGGGGGTGGTGCGGAGAGATGGAGCCAGGTAGGGAAGCAGGAGAGGGCCGGGCAGGGCCTCTCGGGGATGTTCTCAGGCCTGACCCCGAGGATGGTCTGTGGGACTGACACATTCCAAGCTGTCATTTGAAAGGCCTCTCTGGTTCCTGGAGCGGCTGCGACGCTGGGTACCACTCAGTGAGTGGCCCCGGAGCCGGGTACCGTTCCGAGCATTTATCCGCATGGTCTCGTGCGCGGCTCGGTGGCCCCTCGCAGAAACTCTGGCTATCCTGTTTTACAGATGAGGACAGCACAGCCTAGACAGGGGGAGCCACATGTCCAAGGCGGCGGGTGGCCTCCAGGGCAGGCCTGGGCCCCAGAGAAGTTACAGCCTTGGTGCTGGGCGGGGGGAGGGGAGGGGGGGCAGTGGGGAGGACAAAGATGCAGTAATTCATTCAATCTGCGTGCAACCCAGAATACAGACCAAGGCCATAGGCTTGTGGGAGAAGTGCGTCATTTTGGCCCAATCAGGGAAGGCTGCCCGGGTGAGGAAGCATGTGAACTGGACAGCGGGAGGAGAGCAGATTTGGATGGGCTGAGCAGGGGACAGTGAGGGCATCCCAGGCAGAGGGAATGGCACAGGCAGAGGCATGGAAGGTAGCATGCAGTGAGAATGAGAAGTCACTGGGAGAAGGTCAGGGAGATGGGTTGGTCAGGGCTGGAGTGAGGAGGACCTGGAATGACAGTCTTGAAGTTGGCGTCAGGCAGCCTCAGAAGGCAGTCTAGAGAATGGCCTCCTTTCTAAGGAATGCCTGGGCATTCCTGCTAGCAGCCCCTTGCCAGTCTTTGTAATGCTCTGCACTAAGAGCAGGGGAAAGCTCTCATACATAAAACAAACAAAGCAGGAGAGAGCTTCCTGCCCCACAGCACTGTGAGAACATTAGAAGCTGCTCCTTTGTGACCAGCTTTTTGGAGACATGCCGTGGTTCTGGTGCCCAGGCAGAGGACGTCAAGAGGAGGGAGCTGGGGGACTGGGGGACAAGCTGGGAGGCTGGCAGGAGGGCCCAGGCCCGGGAGTGGCAGGAAGTAAAGACCCACCCGGCCCCCTCCCGGCCACCTTTGCTGCCCAGCTGCTCCCAGAACACCAGTGTCGGGGGGGGGGGTCACCCTTTACCCCTCCCTCCAACCTCAGCTGCCAGGGCTCCCAGCTTCCAACCTCCCACTGCCTTAATTACAGGGAGGCCAAGCCCTACCCAGCCAGCTGCAGGCGTCCAGCTCACAGGCTCTCCAACTCAGCGGGTGTGGGGGGCAAGCGGCCGTGTGGGGGGAGATCTAGGAGTGAAGGGTCAGGCCTGGGGACCACCAGCCAACAAGTGAGCTCAGGCCCAGCTCTCCTGTCGGCTCTCTGGGGCCCTGAAGCTTTTGGGGGTTCTGGGGTCACATTCTAGATAGAGTGGGGGGTTGCCGAAGTAGACCCTCGGACTTATATCCAGACTCTGCCGCTTACTAACTGGGCGACGCAAGCTAGCACCCTTGGGAGTCTCACTGGTAGAATGGGGCTCCTCATAGTGCTTCCTCATGCAGTGGTCTGAGCCTTAGGGCAGGACCAGGCCAGGCGTGTGTGATGGTTAAAATTAAAGGGTCCCAATGCTCCATCTTCTCCAAACTTCGATCATCCTGACTGCCTAGATGAGGGGTAAGGCAGGTGGGGGAGAATATGAGCCCATTGTACAGTCAAAGAAGTTGAGGCTTTGAAAGAACGGACTCAACTTGAGGGTCTTGGGCGGGCTCAGTCTACACCCCCACTAGGCTGTGCCCCAGGGCCCACTGAGAGCAGGAGGTGGGGCTCCGGCGGGGAGGGGACCTGGGCTCCAGGCCTGGCTGGGTCCCCAGGCCCTTCCTTCCCTGGCCAGCTCTTTCTGACAGGTCAAGGTCAGAGTTGGATTAGCCTGGCATCTCCCACACGGTCCCAATTCATTTCTCTGTTTTTATGAATTAGATATGTTTCTGTGCAACCAGAGCTCCGAGCTCGGGGATTCATTTACAGTAAATGTGTCTTGAGCACTGGTCTCCATGGCCTTCCCTTGGTGACACAACAGTGCAAAACAGACTTGTCTCCTCCCGCTTAATAGCTGCGCCTGCTTTGAGCCACCGCCCTACCGATGGACGCCTAAGGTGTTGCCAGTCATCCAGGATGAGAAACAATACTGTGACGGGTCTCTCGAACATTCTCTGTGCACATCTGTCTCATGACCTCCCTAGGGTAAAACCCTAGATGTGAACTTTTGGGGTCAAAAAATGTCAGCCTTTGTACATTCCTGGAGTAGCAACAAAAGGCATTCAAGTCCCATCTGGTTCTTTGACTCATTCCCGCATGTTCGGGGAAAGCAACCAGCAGTGGGCAAAGCTACTGAAAAGGCCCTGAGGTGGGAGTGAGCTCGGTGAGCGGGGTGGGGGACAGAAGAACGACCAGTGTGGCTGGGCGTGGGCGGACAGTCAGAGGGACGGTCCCAGAGAAGAGAAAGGGCACAGAGCCCACCTCCCGGAGAGCCTTGTGGCCGGGGGAGGGTGGGAGCCACTGCAGGCTGAAGCAGGAGAGGGACATGAACGGCTGCTGTGAGCAAGGTGGCCCGAGGAGAGCCAGAGTAGATGGAGAAAGGCAGCGGCATTCAGGATACCTGTAGGGCCCTGGGTGCTGCTGGCCGATCAGACGTGGAGGAAGGGACAAGTCCAGGAGGACTGCAAGGCTTTCAGAGTGGTTTACAGGGCTAGGGGAGGAGAGGGCGGAGAGGGTTTGAGGACGGAGATGTCAAGCCGTGTGGTGGGAAATTCACACAGACCCTTGGGGACGTCCAGGAGGCCGTGGCTGCAGGCTGGGGCTGGGTGGAGCAGGGGGGCCAGTGGGTCTAGCCAGGGGTCGTTAAAGCTCCGGATACAGCCCAGCGCGCCCGCCCACTGCGCCGCCCTGCTCCGGCGACAGGAATCCCCTGGTTCCAGACACGACTTGTCACTCTGTGTAAAGAAAGGAAACTAAGAGTCACTGATGGCAGCTGGCCCCAAGTTGTGGCTCCGCAGAGAGAAGTGGGCAGGAAGGAGCAGGAAGGGGAACCCGACAGTGGACTCGCGGTGGTCAGCTAGTCCATTGCCTCGCCTGCTGGGGACCATACGCGATCTGCACCGCTCGCTCTCTCTGCCCCTGCTGCGCCCTAGGCTGCCCTGAGCCGGGGAGCCAGAGACTAAAGGAAGAACTGAAACCTAGGGATGTGGAAGCTGGAAGAGTGTACGTCCAGGGAGCCATCTGGTCAGCAGAATCAGGAAAGCCTTTGCAGAGGAGGGGCCAGCCAAACGGGACTGGGAGGGATGAAGAGGAGTTCGCCAGGCAGATGCAAGGCGTAAGGGCAGGCGACACTACTGTACGGAACAGCCCACATTTGGGGCCACGAGAGCTTTCAAGTCCTTCTCGGCCCTGAGTTCTGGTTTTCTAGCTAAATCCTGCTGTTCAAGCCCCAGTGGAGCCCGTGGGGAGCCCACAGTGTCTGGCTCCTCCTGGGTCTCTGAGCTGACGCTGCATCGCCCCTTTCCGGAACACAAACCGATGTGGCCAGCGTCCACTCAGGAGCATCCCAGCTGGGTTTCTAGGGCGAGGACAGGTAAGCCGGCCTGGTCCAAATCCCAGCTCCCTATTTACCAGCTCGGCTTCCCTGGGCAAGTGATTCCATTTCTCAGAGCTTCAGTTTCCTTGTCTGTGCTGTAGGGTAAGGGCAGTCCCGGGAGGGCTGGCTGGAGAGTGAGTTAATGCAGATAGAACTTAAAAAGGAGCCAGAGGAAGCACTCCTCCTTCCTCACCTCTTCTCTTCCTCCCCTCTCTTCCCTCCTGCCCCCCTCTCCCAGCCCTCCTCCTGGGCCCCTCCCTCCCTCTCTCCTTCCTCTACAGCCCCACCAGCCTGGCTTTTCTTTTTTTTTTTTTCCCTTTTTTAGATTTTTTTAAATTTTATTTATTTAATTGACAGAGAGAGACACAGCGAGAGAGGCAACACAAGCAGGGGGAGTGGGAGAGGGAGAAGCAGGCTTCCCGCCGAGCAGGGAGCCCGATGTGGGGCTCGATCCCAGGACCCTGAGATCATGACCTGAGCCAAAGGCAGACGCTTAACCAACTGAGCCACGCAGGTGCCCCCAGCCTGGCTTTTCTTATTGCCCTTCCACTCTCCCCCTTAGGCCTGGTCATTTCCTCTGCTTGGACCGAGATTCCCCCAGAGCCTCACCCCATCTATTATAAGGTCTCTGGTCAAACGCCACCTCCCTGACCATCCTCTCTAAGATATCATGCCCTACCCCTGCCCCTCTCATCACTCTCTATCCACCCCTGCCGCCCAACCTTTGAGTTTTCTTCCTGGCACTTAGCATCCCATGTGACACTATATTATATATTTGTGTAGTGTCTGTTAGCCCCAGCTTACTTGTAGGCTCCGTGCTGTACCCCCAGCAGTTGGAACAGTGCCCAGGGAAGCAGACCCCCCAATAAATATGCGTGGGACAAAATCTCTGTGGAAGAACCAAGCATCCGCTGTAATGGTTATCTTTCCCCCACTGCCTCCTGCCTTGATTTACAAGCACACATTCTGGGAGCTCCCACTGAGCGCCCGGGCACCTCACGTCTAGACTCCTGTGTGCCTCCCTGTCTCTTAATGCGTATCTGGCTGGACTGGTCCTCCCTTCTCATTAAAAGGCTGGGCCCCAGCAGGGAGACCAGAGGGTCTTCTCCTGGGGGAGGTGCGCCTACTATGAATCTGGCATTCTCTGCATCCCACTCATCAACTTTCCAAGGAAGGTTTTCTGAGTTCCATTTCACAGATGGGAACACTGAGAGGCTACACCAAGTCTCAGAGCTGGGACTTGTGGCCGTGTTGGCCTGGCTGGAGGCCCCCCTTTGCCCCCACTGTAGCACCCAGTGGGGCCTCCTAGGGCGTGTCTGGGTGGGGGTGTCAAGGGAGGCTCAGAGATGGGACAGACCAGCCTTTGGTGGTTCTACTTTCCCTCCTGGGCACCCCCCCACCCCGAGCAACTGTCCTTCACCATCTCCTGGGTTTAAGGAGAGGGGTGGCTCTGCTTTTGTGGCTCATTGAAAGACCTCAGAATTGAGGGTTGGCAACTTTTGACAAGTCGTGAGCCAGCCAGTGGGGCATGAGGGCACGTCACCGGCTGGCCCTGTCGTCCGCTCCACCGGGGGAGGAGGGGCTGGGCTCCTTCCAATGACGGCAGCCGCGGGGGTGCACGGGGCCCTGGTGAGCTCCCATGTGCTCTCCGAGAATCCTAACCACTGTCCTGAGGACAGCAGGACTCAGGGGCCAGAAATGCTCATCGACCTCACACGGCCAAGAAGTGGCCGGAGTGGGACCCAAAAATCTGGGGCCGGATGAGAAATTCGAGTCATCCGTGGCCCTGTGGGGAAGGTTGGTAACTTGCCGCTGGTGGCCACCGCAGGCTCCAAGGCCAGGACTCACCCACAACGGGCCGTGGCTTCCTCCGGCTGCACAAACTTGAGGCCGAATTCTCATCAAAGAGCCTCAGATCTTTCCCGGAAGGAGGTGAGCTCTCAGTCAATGCCGGGAGTTCGGGGATTTCCGGGGCGGAGAGGATGGGGACGGTCACGGTCCCCAGGGTTCTGTGAAACCATCCATTTCGTGATGGACCATGGGGCTCCATCGAGAAATCCCGGCTGCCGCAGCCCAGGGCCTGCCTCGCCCTCCGTCCGGGAAGCCTGCCGATGTTGGCACGCCCTGCATGTGGGCAACAGGGTTGAGACACGTCTGGCATGAGGTGAGGGGGATCTTCGGCAGCTGGCAAGGATAGTGCTCTCCGTCCTCTCCCCAAACCCCCAGATCTCAGCCCTGTGCCTGGGACCAAAGTGCCTGGTCATCGTCCTGAGAGAACCCCAGGCTTCCAAGAGCCCCAGGTTGGAGGCTCATCCAACTGCAGCCCCCTGAGAGGGCAGGAATCTCCTCCATAACATTCTTGATCCAAACTCTGCTTGCTTACCTCCCAGGATGGGGAACTCACTCTCTGTCAGGCCGTCAATTCCCTCTGACTCCAAAGTAAGGTCCCCACTCAATGGAGTCATGCTGTGCCATCCTGCTGCTACTCCAGATTGGCCTTACTTTGCTCGCCATGGTCACCCCCCGTGATGGTGCCTTAGGAGAAGCCCCTGTATCATCAGAGCACCCCCACATGAGCTCAGCTCGCAGCACTCCCCCTGAACCTCACCCCCCACTCCCACCCCATGCTTCCAGGCTAGTTTTCAGGTTTTGTGGTGAGTCAGGGGAAAAATCATGAAGCCTGGAAGCACTTTACCCACAAAGCCATGACAGCAATTCGTGCCATTCAGCCGACTTGAGCCAGAGACCGTGTCAAGTGCCAGAGACCCAGAAATGAATCAGTCCATGCCCCTGAGGATCCCCACCGGGATAGGGGTGGGAGGGTGCAGAGGCAGGCATACCTGGGCATCAGCCAGAAGCAGGGGGTCAGCAGAGGGAGCTCTCCCCACTGGTCACAGGCGGGTTTGCAAGGCTCTTTCAGGATGGCTAGTTTTCCAGCAGGTAGACAAGGGGAGGTGGCAGAGAGAGAGAGAGAGAGAGAGCATGGAGGGTGCACAGACCGGAGAGCAAAGGCCAAGTAGTGGGGCCACCTAACCGACTGATTTGCTTGGGACAGAAGATATCAGGATCAGCACGCTTTATCTGTAAAGGCCCAGACAGTAAATACTTGGGGTTCTGCAGGCCATTTGGTCTCCGTTCCATTTTCTCAGCTCTACTGTTGGAGCTCAGAAGCAGCCAGAGAGGATGAAGACATGAATGAGCGTGGCTCTATTCCAATAAAACTTTATTTGTTGACACTGAAATTTGATTGTCATATAATTTTCTTGGTCATGAAATAGTATTCTTCTTTTGATTCCTTTCCAGCCATTTACAAATGTAAAAAGCATTCTTAGCCCACGGGCTATACAAAAACAGCTGATGGTTTGGACCTGGCCCTTAGTTTGCTGATCCAGGCACCCCTCCCCCCC